AATTACACAGTACATGCCTCTCACCAAATTAACAAAGGTGGGTGGCTGGATCTTGGGAAAGAGGCAAAGGCCTACAGTAAGCTGTGCCCAGAGTGTATCATTAGTAAAGCAGGCATTAACTACAAGAGCTCTCCATACTAGCAACAAAGTCTTTTCAATTTAATTGACCCTCAAACCTCAGCACATGAACAGAACAGAACAGAACAGAAAAAACAGAAACATGAGAAAGCAAGAGAACAAACTGCATTCAAAAGCTACCATCTCCCTCAAGGCTAATCCATGGGACATTACTGGGGAGGAAATCAAAAGCTGAATTACACAACATGAAAAAGAACAAACAAAACAAATCAATAAGCTGCTTCATGAATTCAAAGATAATATAGCTACACAGACAATGGACTTAATAAGCAAAATATCCAGTAAGAGACTAAGAAAAGCAAGTTGAGCTGAAAGAAACGATACGAGGGCTGGGGATATAGCTTAGCAGCACTGTGCCTGCCTGGCAAGTGTGAGGTCATAGCTTCTATACCCAGTACCAAAAATAGATAGATAGATAGATAGGTGATAATAGAAAGAAATAAATGATACAAAATATTAACTATCAATAGCTCAGCGGCACAAGTGACTGCCTAGCAAGCACAAGGTCCTGAGTTCAATTCCCAGCACCAAAAAAAAGAAACAAAACAAAACATTAATTATTAGTTTACCAAATGATTAGAGTCAACAAAAAGTAGCAGGAGATGAAGAATTCTATTGAAACTTTAGGGCCAGGCATATAACTCAGTGGCACAGCACCTGCCTGGCAAGCATAAGGTCCTGAGTTTGATTCCTGGTACAAAAACAAACAAACAAACAAACAGGAAACTAGCAGTTTGACAGTTGTTAAATAACATAAAAAACATTAACTTAAGATTAAATGGTAGAGGCAGCTGGGGATTTAGCTCAGCAGCACAGCACGTGCCTGGCGAGTGCAAGGTCATGAGTTCAGTTCCCGGTACCGGGGAAAAAAAAAAGATTAAATGGTAGAAATTACTCAAAGGAAGGAATAACTGGGATGAGGGAAAGGAGAAAAAAAATGGAAAAAGGAAGGAAAAAAAAAATATATATATATATGTATATAGAAGGACAGCTGGGATAACTGTACTGCTAAAGTCTAGTGATTTATTGAAAGGAAAAGTTAATGCCTATTTTTTTTCATCAATTTTGCATGCTTTTATCTGGTAATCTGAACAACTAATTTAAAGACAACAATATGCAATATAACAACCATTGGTGAATTCCTACCATCTTGTGTAGTAAAACTCTGTATTGTTTCTAATTTTTTTTTATTCTCTTTAACAGTTTGATCAATCTTGCATTCATACATCTGGTAATTTGAGCAACTTCATTGAAGATACCAATATGTAATATAACAGCCACTGTTAATTCCTAACATTTTGTTCTCTAAAACTCTGTATTCATTTTTATTGTTTTTATCTATGTTGTTGGCATTTTATTATTCTCTTTAAAAAAGATTAAATGGAATTAATGAGAAATGAGAAGATGGCATAAATGGCATTAAAAAATCTGTTTATAAAAAATTATAGCTGGGTATGGTGGTGCATGCCTATAATCCCAGCATTTGGGAAGCTAAAGCATGAGGATCATTGTGAGTTCAAGGCCAGCCTGGGCTACAAAGAAAGTTCAAGACCAGCCTGAACTGCATAGTGAGACCCCATAGTTGGCTTGCTCCAAGGCAGAGTGACATGGCAGGGAGGTATCACAAAGTAGAAACAGTTCATGGCAGGCAAAAGACAGCAAAGCAGTGAAATAGAAAGCAGCAAGCAACTGTAACAGTCCTCTTTCTGTTACTTATATTCTATCCAGGCTACACACCCTTAGGTCAGGTAGCACTTACACCCAGGCAGGAGCTTCCCTTTATCCACTCCCAGAATTACTCCAAACCAGTCAATTGAGTAATTCTACACTCTTGATCCCAGCATCACACATTCTAGATACAGTTACCTTTGAAAAGCCCCACATATGACCACATGAGGCTTTGGGGGAACATCTACACACAGGCTATAACATATATCTTCAGCCATTAGGGAAATGCAAATCAAAACAACTCTTACACTCCATCTTACCCCAGTCAGAACAGAAAAAACAATGAATGCTGGTGTGAATGTGTGTGGGGGGAGGAGGGGATAGACCTTTCTACAATGTTGGTGGAAAAGATAATAAAAATACTACAGAAACCAGCATAGAGATTCCTAACAACACTAAAAATGGACATTGTTTGACCCAACTATACCTCTCCTAGGTATATTCCTGAGTTAAAGTCATCATGCTGTACTAATACATGTGTACTCATTTTTCTAGCATCACCACTTGCAATAGCCAAGCTCTGGAAACAGTCCTGTTGTGCATCAATCAGCAAATGAATGAAGAAGCTGCGGTATATACAACACTTAAATTTTCTTCAGCCATAAAGAAGAATAAATTCATGTCACAGGAAAAAGGATGTACCTTGAGACCATATAATTAAGTGAAACAAATCAGACACAAAAAATTAAATATCTCTTATATGAGAAAACCAAGATATAAAGAGTAAAATAAGGAAAAATAGTACTAGGAAACAGAGAGGAAGAATTTTTGGAGATGAGAGAGGGGCCCAATAGAAGGGGTAGGAAAGGTATGGTGGGAAAAGGGGATTGAAAATTATCAAGATATGATTTATATATGTACCAATTCCCCAAAACAAATGTAAACACTATCTATGTCAAACATAAACCAATGAAAATGGCAGAGCAACACCCTGTGTATGCAAATAAACCGTATTAACTTACAGATCTGTTGCTGGATGCCAGTTAAGATTTCCTCATCCTTCTCCTGAACTACACTCTCAAATTATGATGTTTGTAAAAAGTATATATGATAATAGTAATTGGAAGAATAGTTTCTGTGAAAGTATAATCCTGTAAATCAAATTGATATGAAATCTGTGACTCTTCTTTCCTTGCCTCAACATCAGCCAGATTGATATGCTTTTGAGCATGTCTTTACATATTTAGGCAACAAGACAACAGGCTCCAAGGAAAACTAGCTTTTAACCTAATGTCACAAAATTTTAACTTGCCTCTTTAACCTGTGCCAATAGCTGAGATTGTCTAAGGGTCCTAGAAAATACTGTGGGCAAGTGCCGAAGAACCAGGGGCTGGGCCAAGCAGGTAGCACTTCACATCCCCAATAAAGCGAAGAATCTTGCAACAGTCTCAAAACCCAAACACCAGCTACACCTGGAAGACACCTCTGAGAAGAAGTCCCTAGCAATAAAGCTACTCACCATAGGCAATTTACAAGCATCAATCCAGGAATTAAACTAATAAAAAAAATAAAAAATGAGAAGACACTTAAAACAAGATGCAACCCCATACATCCAGTTCACCAAAGGCAAACCTGGTGGGACAATTTGAAAGCCACCCACTGGCCTCTCTGAAGTGGTAACAACAAAGCAAATGAATGAGGCTCTAGAAAAAATCAAATCAGAAATAATTTCTCAGATAACTGCAGAGATGGTGTCCACAATGAAAACCATGCTGAGTGACTCTTCAGCAGACAGAGATTTCAGTAAGTTTTTTATACCTGTGATGTCACTTTCTAATCTTTCTGTAACTCTTATAATTCTCAGGGTTTGGATTTTTTGTTGTTGTTTTTTGGTTTTGAGTCATCTAGCAACTGTTGGATCTATCTTTTACAATGTCAGGGTTAAGATGACACTGTGGCAATAACATACAGGAAAAAGGAAATTTCAAAAAGAGTATGTGACATACCAATAGTGAAGAAACATAAAAAATGAAAAGCAAATTAGACCAAAAATACTGACATGGTCTAATAGACCTAGGAGAAAATATCATACAAACGGTGTTTCTAGAAGGAAAGGGTACAGACACCCAGAGAGATCTATGCCTAAAACTAGGTCACTGAATTGAGCAACCAGTGAGTGTATTATTAAAGTAATTTTAGCACAGCAATGAGAGAAGAATCCTAATTAATTGGTTTGCAAGAAAAACAGTAAGTATGGAAGAGAAAGCAAACACAGAAACTTTATTCTTTCAACAATGGTGTAAGTAAATGAAAAGTAAAACAAAGAATAAAAGGCGTAAGAAAGATACTATGTTGATTCAGGCAAAAAATGACATTGAGAAAGATTGTTTAACTTTTTATTTAGGGATGAGAGAAAATACATGACTTATGTTTGGAAGATTCAGTGGAGAGAAAGAAAATAAAAAACACAAGAAAGGATTTAATGTAGGGAACAAGGTTTTAAAAGGTGGTAAAAAGAAAAAAAGAATAGAAGTAATAGCACTGGAAAAGAACTGGAACACTAGTTCTGCTGAAACAAAAGCAATGTAAAGATGTATGAAGATACAGTTTTTGATACTGCTGATCCCTCAAAACTCCATTTAAAACTGGGCTGGGCTGTTAGCTGGAATGGGCATACAGACAGGAGTAGTGGTTGTTATTTTTGTTATCACTGGTTTAACTCTACCATTTGGCAGAATCACAAAACACAACCAAAGTGTAAAGGGTATGTATGTATGAAGATTGGTGGAATAATTCAAGACTGTGTATAAATTCATAGACTATGTCTACTTTCTCTCCACCACTCTTGCTGTACTTTACTTTGCTTAAGAGCCAAAAAACACCTCTGATGAAATTAACTAAATATAAAACAAATTTCTGTCTTCCTCATTGCCCTGGTGGGTCTTAACACGTCCAGTTCTCTCAAGAAGTCCAAATCAGTATGATTTCTCCTCAATAACTATTATTCAAAGCAAAATAATTTGCACCCAGTTTTTGATATGCCTAATATTCCTGACATTTTATGTAGTCATAACTACATTTCTAGACATTTCTTTCTTGAATAAGTTTTTCCATTTTTAGTTCTCTGTCAGACTTGAAGATGTTGGTAAACAATGCTCAATTATATGTCTTTGTTTCAGTACAAGCATACTGACCTTGAGGTGAGACTGAAGAGAACAGCAAATCCAAGAAGAAAACGTGCAAGAGAAAGTTAGAAACAATTAATATTGAAAAATATTATTATTCATGAGCATAGACAAAATATAAAGCACAGAAATAAAGAAACAGACAAGGATTCCACACAGGCACTAAAATTAGTAATTTCAGATTTTCAACATTCAACAAGTGAATTTTATTATTAGATTACACCATCATACTTTAAAGTTTCTAAAAGAAAATTTTTTGTCTAACCTTTATCATTTCATGGAACAGCAAGAAAAACTTCTTAAACATTTAGAAAGAGGTTAAACATCTTCCTCTCATTTAAGTAGCTAGAACTAGAATTAAGTGATTACACAAACATAATCACCTCAGTTTTATGTCCCTCCACCATCACGTAACTCACTAGTGCTTTACCTACTCCATTCCACTAAGAGGATCAAGTTATACAAAAGAAAAAGCAGAAATAGATTGGCAGATTTAGTTATTCTGTAGAATACAGAACTCTCAATTTACACAGAAGAATTTGAAATGATTTTCTTAAATTTTCAAAAAGAAACCATTTTTCCTTAATCACAACCACTATCTGACTTCAACTCTACAAAATCTTTGAATGGTGCAATCTAAAGACAATAATGAACGTGTATGGATCTATAAGCATCAATGCATTCCCAGAGCTGCTCAGCAGTAGAAACTGTAACAAAATCATGCTTAATATTCCTATGCAGCATGAAGCCCCTATGATTCATTATTGCCTTTTATATAATAACAGGCAGTCTTCTCTCTTTAAAACTTAATCAATTTCACTGAAATTATTATCTTTCAATAGTTAAGATTTCTAATGGTCAGTGCTATCCAGATTGTCTTCGTGATTTAAGTTTTTACTTTAAGAACTGAAAATAGCCAGACATAGTGGTACATGCCTATAATCCCAACACTTGAGAGGCTGAGGCACAAGGATTGCCACAAGTTTGAGGCCAGCATAGACTACCTATTGAGTTCATGATTAGCTTTAAGACTACACAGCAAGGCCTTATCTTAAAAAACTAAAAAAGAATTGAAACTAAAAGGTTTATTTCTTGAATGCAAACACCATTTTGCTTTGTACCTTAACATTCATTAAAACTTAGTAAAGTGGTGTACATGCTAATTCAGCACATACTACAAAGTTTTAAAAGTCATGAGAATTTTAAAAAGGAGGATAATATTTATTATCCTTATTATATAAAATGAAATGACAAACAGAAAAGTAACATGCTCACAGTCATGCAGAAGGTTAGTGGCAAATTCCGGAAAAGGATGTAGGTGTGCTAACATCCCACCTGGACAAAGTCTATCTGTTCTATGATACTTCTTCAGGGAGCTATAAAGCTCCATGGAACTTTAGCATATACAAGACAGTGTCAAAAGTTGACAATATTCAAAGGCAAAAAAGGGCAAGCTCTCTCTCTCTCTCTCTCTGACACTGGGACTCAAACTCAGGACCTTGCACCTGGCAGGCATGCACCTGTGCTGCTGAGCTATATCCCCAGCCCAAAAGGGCAATCTCTAAATGATTGTTCTGAGTGATTCATTTTTATGGTTATGATACAGAAAGAACAATTTTAGATAAATAATGACATTAAGTGAAATTTCCTATAGATGCAAAGTTTTATGTACAACATGGGTAAAAAAAAAATTGAGGTTTTCCTTCCAGGAGCAAGCAACTTTATTGTTTTATCAATTGCTTCATTGTGTTTATTAATTTTATTGCTCATGAATCATACTTCACCTTAGTATCAAGCTACAGCTCTTAGGGAATAAATTTAAGAGGAAAGTATTCTATACAAGGCATAACTATGTAATTTCTAATGTTCACACACCTAATTAAAAAACTAAGGAAGCCACTAAAACATTCCAGTAAAGGAATAGTAACAAATTATGAGGTGCTGTGCCCACAAGGAACTTTGGGAAGATGACATAAAGAAAGGACTACGCAAAGCTGTGACTGTATTTTCCTGTTAAATGAAATCAGTGAAACTGATCAAGGAGGAAAGGAAAAAGAAAAAGAAAAAAGCAGCCTCTCCAGACAGCAAGCAGAAGCAGGCAGATCAGATAAAGAACCAGTCATCTTCAACTGTAATTAATGAGCATCTTTCCCTTTTTGGTTTTCTTATTTTTAAAAACACATTCTCCTTCAAGCAAAACATACATTATATGACTCTGCACAATTACCAGCTGCAGCCCCAAGCATTTCTCTTCTACATCAACTACACTAAGAGCATATTTTCTGAGGCTGTACTTCATAGATCAAATATGCACAAACACAAATTTAAAAGAAAGGGAATTCTTTCCTAAGCAATCATTTTCCTCATAAATTATATAGAAATTGATAACAAAGCTATATATAGCTCAATTTTATATGAAAGATTTCTGAAGCCATTAAACATGGTATCAGGGGCCAGGGATATAGCTCAGCGGCACAAGCGCCTGCCTGGCAAGAGCAAGGCCCTGAGTGTGATTCCTGGTACCAATAAATAAATAAATAAATACGGTATCAATTCAGCATATCTTTACGGAAAGACTTTTACCAAGTATAAATATCTAGGTTTATATTTTCAGTTTATGTTATGCCATAGATACCTAAATATGTGATTCCAGTATAAAATAATCTGAAATATAAAGCTTATTTTCCCAATGAGAACCTTTAAATATAATTTTTTGGATTAATGTAAGTAAACTCAGGATATAAGTAGAAATGTCAAACATTTAGTTATTATAGGAAATATATTCATTTGATTGCACATGTATTTAGAATGGAATACACCGTCAGGTACAGTGGCACATGACTGCAGTCCTCACTGCCTGGGATACTAAGGCAGAAAGATCCTCATGTTTAAGGCCAGCTTGGGCAACTTAGAACTATCTTGTCTCAAAACAAAATACAAAGAGCTGGAGGATACAGCTCACTGATAGAACAACTGCCTATTATGACTGAGGCACTCAGTTTAATCTCCAGTACTGTCAAAAATAAAATACACAAATAAAATGGAATATACAATTAAAAAATGTTAATTTAGAAATACTACTTTATTCTACTCCTACATTTAATAAAACAATTTTTATTTATCCTCTGAACATATATTCATTCACTAAAGACAGAAGATGAACCTTATAAAGGTCATTAGTTGCCTGCTTTCTCTAGTGAGATGGCTGTGCAGCAAGTGCTTGGAGAAAAGTTATCAGTGCTGCATGTTAGAAGCAGGCATTCTGCCAACAGCTTTATAAGGGTTCCCTTCTAGCTACTGAATGAGCTGCAAAAGAATGACTCTGCTGGCATCATCTACAAAATAAATAACTAGTCTTAAGTCTCCTGGGACCAGAAGCATCCATTTAACAAAGCCCACACTGAACTAAGACTAACACAGATAAACTGACACCTGGCAGCAAAGCAGCCCATCTGTAAATTCCTAAATAACCTGTCCAAGAAAAAGGCATTCTAGCATGTGAGAAAAGCATTGCCCTCAGCAAGCTCCACAGGCAAGAGCCTCTGGATCACATCCTCTCCAAAAGCTGAGAAAATATTAATGAAAAGAGACTACAGGATGGACGTTCCAAAGAAGAAAGGAAGAGACAGACCCTGCACAACTCTGCTACCACCTAACATGTGATACCATCATTTAACGTCTCTAGGCCTCAGCCTAAGTTGTAACAAAAACTACACAAGACCCTTTTGCAGAAACACACAAACTAGAGCCATGACATAAGACATAACTAAAATTAAGAAATAAAACTATTTTAAAAATTACATTAAAAGATTGGGAAATTCTAAGAAAGGTAAGCTCTACTTGGTACATAAAAAGTCAAATAAATGAGCCTGGGACACAAAATATGAAGCAACTTTTTTAATATTTCGCCAAAAGAGAGATACAGATTATAAAAATGAGTTAAAAGTAATACAAATAGTTCAGAATGAAATGCAGTCAGTTTTGCTGCAATACAAATCTACTTTTGAAACACAGACTATATTGCACTTTCAAGAAAATATCCTACCAACTAAGAAAAGCCCAGGATCCAATGGATTCCCCACTGACTCCTGCAAGAACTTCAGGGAATATCTAATGGCAATATTCCACAAACCTTAATGAAACTGAAAGGTAAGTATTACTTTTAAAGCCATTCCTGGAGTACAACATTACTTTGATTCCAAAGCCAGACAGGTACTCAACTAAAAAACAGAGCTATAAGCCAATCACAATATAGATCCAAAAATCCTCAACAATATAAGTGGCTAATAAAAACTTTAAAAATATTTGATATTTCTGGCCATTAGAGAAGTAAAAACAAAACAAACATAAAGATTCTGTCTTACTCCAGAAAGAATGGCTCTCATCTAGAAATCAAATAACAACAAATGCTGGTGGGACTGTGGGGAAAAAGAAACCCTTTGACATTTTTGGTGGGAATGTAAACTAGTGCTTCTACTACGGTAATCAGCATGGAGATTCCTCAAGGGGGACAAAAAAAAAACTTCTAAGACTAAGAGGTTCTGTTTGACCCAGCTATTTCTCTTCTCCCTGAAAGTTAAAGACATCATATTACAGTGATACTTGCATATGTTTATAGCAGCACAATTCGTAATAGCTAAAGCTTGGAAGTAACCTAGATGCCCATCAACAGATGAACAGTTAAAGAAATGTGGCATTTATCATAATGGAGTAGTATTGTGCTACTAAAATGATACATTTGAGTCATTAGTAGGAAAGCTGATACACCTTGAGACCATCATGTTAAGTGAAATAAATCAGTCACACAAATTTAACTATCACACGATTTCTCTTATATGAGAAACTCAAAGTATAAAAAAATTAAAGAGGAAAATACAAGACAGATAATAGGAAACATGGAGATAGATCTTTTGTGATTAGAAAGTGACCAAGAAAGAGATGGGGGAGGGGTTAAAAGGAATTACAGTGTGTTATGTACATACATCAATTCCCCAGTATGAATGTTATCATTATGTACTGCA